AGTAGAATGGTATATGCTGCTGTGACAAAATTCTCTCTCTCTCTCTCTAGAGAGAGAGAGCGAGAGTAGATAGAGGACGAGAGAGAGAGAGAGAGAGAAGAGAGAGAGAGAGAGAGAGAGAGAGGAGAGAGAGAGAGAGAGAGAGAGAGATAGAGAGGAGAGAGAGGAGAGAGAGAGAGAGAGAGAGAGAGCTATATATCATATCGCGCGCTCTCTCTATCTATCTCTCTAGCGCTTCTCTCGCTCTATCTCTCTATCTCGTCTCTCTCTCTATCTCTCGCTCTCTCTCTCTCTCTCTCTCTCTCTCTCTCTCTCTCTCTCTCTCTCTCTCTCTCTCTCTCTCTCTCTCAAACCCTGAAGCGATGTATACATTGTGTGTGTGTGTGTGTGTGTGTGAGCCACAGCACTGACCGGGTTGACAGGTGCCGGTGGAGGTGGAGTTGGAGCAGGGACAGGGTGCACAGGCCTGGGGGGGGTCAGCCCCCGGGCTGCGGTAGAACCCGGGCTTACACTCCTCACAGTTGGATCCCTGGGTGTTGCCCTCGCAGTTCAGGCACACTCCTGCAGGACAGAACAAAGATCACATGATTAAAGGATACAGTAGATTGCCTCTATATTTTGTGTGGCAATATTAGAACAATACAGAGACACAGAAGTATCAAGCTCTTGTATAATATAAATTAGTAGTATTGCAAATAAAAATTCAAATGTTGGTAACAACCGTTTTTAGTCTAAGATTGTGCTGATTATTTTCAGGTGATTCTCAAACAATAGAGGATATTTCCTGGACCTGCACAAAATGTGAGATAAGTTGGCTATATGAGCATTTTACTTTATAAGGGTTGACAATGCATAATCATTCCACCAGTATGGGTTTTGCCGTTATTAGATTGGTGTGTTTTCAGAGGAAAATCATACCGAGTGGAACGGATCAGGTTTTTAAACAAGGCTAACTCCTTATCAAAAAGCTCAGTACTTATTTATTCCTCATGATTCTTAGAATTGTAACGTTTTACTTATCAAGAGCAAAGAATTAAGCAAAGAGGGAAGACAAACACACAACACTGCCAGTCACACAAACACAGACATTTCTTTTAGAAGCCTGTCCTTGCTCTCTTATTTTTAGTGTATATCTAAGAGAATATTGAGATGGAGGAGAAGGGATTTCACCAGTCTTGCGTGCACATTTTACCCCAGTGTGCACACAGACTGCAATAAGATATTACAGCGCTATGTTACCTGAGAGTTGAACCATGGGGCAAAAAAGGGTCTGCAAATCAATCTGTATGAAACCTAATCCTGACACGTTTGCACAGCCATGTTTTGCCTTGCATTACTGACTTGTGATATATTTTATCATTATATTTTTTAACATATAACAACAAATTCATGATTGTTTGTTGTCCTGGCTACCCATTAAAATCAGTTAATACTGATTATTACACATTAGAAATGTAGGAGGAAAAGAGACGAGATGAGAAAGAATATTGTGCTATTTTATCACATCAAGTTGTTCTGTTGCAGTGGGGGGGAAGAGCGAGAATACGAATATATATGATATGAATACATAACTAAAAAAGTAGAAAATAAATAAACCACTCATCTCTCATAACAGGATAGGGTCTTACACGTGAAGCCGTTCAGCGTTATTAATTAAGTTGATGAACATTCATAAATCTTTCCCATCTTTAGGTCCAATCCACACAGTCAATTTAAATTCCATAGACTGAATGACTAATTGTCGTATTTTTTAATCCAACAATACAGTAATTAAATGTAAATATTTGTGAAGGGGTTTTCACTACAATGCTGTTTGCAGTGGAGCTTGTGCCTGTGGTGGAGTTGTTGTGCCTCCATAGATAGGACCTAACCTGCAGGATGCTTCGCTTGCTTTATCTGAGTAACACTGGTTCAACCCATGCATTAACCCAGTGTCAACAGAGGAGCTGCTAATAGGCTCATTTAGCTGCTGGAGGCTCTGAGTCTGCAGCAGACTCCACTACTGCTTAAAGTGTTGTTAAAGAGGGCTTTGGGTTCGGTCTGGAGAAAGGTGCTTTCCTACACCAAATGATGGACCAGTGATGAGTAATAACAGCTTTTAACATACTGCTGTTGATGTGAAATGATGGGTTTTGATTGGGTGAACTTAGACCAAGAGGAAGTTGGCCTATGCTTTTATTCTTCACTGAGGGATTCCTTTGACCTTACTGTGCACCTGGCACACTATCTGCTCTTTCCATAATATCTCTAAACATGTGTGCATTCAAGGTTCAGAGGTGAGTATTACATCACTTTAAAATTGGAAAAACTTGTGTTCCTGTCGAAAAAATGAACTAAAAATCTTTATTTTTCTCTGCATTCTTTTTTACAGCATGTAAATCTGATTCAGCTGAAAACAAAAGGTCAGTGTGGGGGCTACCTGTCTCTGTCCTGTTGGAAGTGACGGGTCCCTGTCATGTTTATCTAAGGGCCCCCTGTTTGGGAGACTGTACAATAAGCATTTGCACAATGTGCTCCTCAGTAAGTGGGGAGAGCAGGGTGAGTCTTTAAGGGGGAGCTTTAGAAGCTGAGCTTTGTTAATCCACAGTACACTGAGCCCAGATACAGCCCTCCATCTGCCTGTCACTAGCTGGGGTCTAGTTTCCTGACCACTGATAGGGCTTTCACACCAACGCGGTTCCCGTTCTAGCTCCGTGCTAGAGCTTTTCTGGTTCGGAACCGGTTTTTATTTTCAGCCCCCGTTTGTTCACACTGCCCAGAGCCCGACTGGTGCTGCCGCTGCTGCGTCATGACGTCACCGTTTACGTCGCTCACTACAACAACGGGGGACTGCGTCGGGTCGATGATCGTGTTGCTTTTAATCACACGAAGCCAGATTAAATTAAATAACGACTTCTCCAACCTTATGCTTTTCTCCAGAGTGCCGTGGTTCATTGTTTATTAATGTGTTTCTGCAGCATTTACCGACCGCTGCAGTGTTGGCTGCTCTTCCACGGGAGTTTATTCTGCCATTAGCTCCCGGTTAGCTCACATTGCAGCGGCCGCTGTAAAGTATTCACTGTCTGACTGTCACACAAGCAGCTGATACATATCCCCAGTTCCCCTTAAGTGAGTGTGTCAGTCTGAATTGACGCTGTTTGGCATCACAACATTGTTATGAACGTTTCTCTGGTATAAAATGGGTGATGTTAGCATAGCAACCGAAGCTAAACTGACTATCTTGACTACTTGTTGCTATCCTATTGTGGCATAAGCCGTTTTCTACAGGCACATTTTACCGGCGTATTTTTCATTATGATTCTACTTGTGATAGTCGGACAGCACAACCTGTGCAGCCCATGTATTGATTCCATCCGATAGCTGCTATAATACAAAACGTCTGCCTCTCTCCACAATGATCAATAACAGTGAACGGATGGTCAAAGTAAGGTACAAATAAACAGAATCACACGAAGCCTGGTTAGTGTTGCCTGACTTTATAAAGTGTCTTTTTTTTTTACAAGTGTGTGGTTGCCTTCTAGTCACTTTGCTCAGCGCTACTGCTTGTTACAACTTTCATTTGCCGTACTCGCCTTTAACTGTTAGCTCAGGTTAATCTCGCCCCCCTCCGACGTAAGCGTGACGTATGCGGTTCTTGCTTCTAGACCGACAATTTTTGTGGTGCTTGAAACGAACCGGATTCTGGAGCTTAGAGGCGGCTCCGCTGTGGTGTGAACAGGAAAAACCGGTGCTTTTCAGGTTCTAGCTCCGAACCGGCCCTGGAACCGCGTTGGTGTGAAAGCCCCATGAGAGGTGGCAGCAATCCTCCTTCACATATGATTGGGGAGAGGAGGACCACCTTAAATCACAATGGAAACTGGGTTTCTGGTTCCTCTGTAAATATTCACTTCAGACACACTGGGGGGTTTGTGTACTTTGTGTTGGTGTCTATCTTCAGCATATACAGTTGCAAGAAAAAGTATGTGAACCCTTTGGATTCTCCACACATAGCGTTGTGTGTTCCTTCCAAACAACTCAACTTTGGTTTCATCTGTCCACAGAATATTTTGCCAGTAGTGCTGTGGAACATCCAGGTGCTCTTTTGCAAACTTCAAACGTGCAGCAATGTTTTTTCTGGACAGCAGTGGCTTCCTCCGTGGTGTCCTCCGTGGTGTCCTCCCATGAACTCCATTCTTGTTCAGTGTTTTACGTATCGTAGATTCGTCAACAGAGATGTTAGCATGTGCCAGAGATTTCTTTAAGTCTCTAGCTGACCCTCTAGGATTCTTCTTCACCTCATTGAGCATTCTGCGCTGTGCTCTTGCAGTCATCTTTACAGGACGGCCACTCCTAGGGAGAGTAGCAACAGTGCTGAACTTTCTCCATGTATAGACAATGTGTCTTACCGTGGACTGATGAACATCAAGGCTTTTAGAGATACTTTTGTAACCCTTTCCAGCTTTATGCAAGTCAACAATTCTTAATCGTAGGTCTTCTGAGAGCTCTTCTGTGCGAGGCATGGTTCACATCTGGCAATGCTTCTTAAGAATAGCACATTCAAAACTGGTGAGTATTTTTTATAGGGCAGGGCAGCTTTAACCAACACCTCCAATCTCGTCTCATTGATTGGACTCCAGGTTGGCTGACTCCTGACTCCAATTAGCTCTTGAACAAGTCTTTAGCCTAGGGGTTCACATACTTGTTCCACCCTGCACTGTGAATGTTTACATGGTGTGTTCAATAAAAACATGAACATATAATTGTTTGTGTGGTATTAGTTTAAGCAGACTGTGTTTGTCTATTGTTGTGACTTAGATGAAGATCAGAACACATTTTATGACCAACTTATGCAGAAATCCAGGTCATTCCAAAGGGTTCACTTTTTCTTGCAACTGTAGTACCCAGGTGCTAACTTACACAAAGCTAATGGCTTAAAGTTATTAGGAACGTAATGAGCATCATATTGGCAAACATCGGGCTGTTAAGCTTCAGAGTTCTAACTCAAAATCCTCATGCAAAGGAACCACATAAAACGTGCTGCGGTCCATAAAGGCACCAATCAGCATGTCATTGTCTTAGGGTTTCAGAGAGGAGATATGGACACATCACAAAGCTGATGGTGAATGAATAATGATACATTAGATCAGGGGTGTCAAACACAATTTCATCCCGGGCCACATCAGCATTATGGTTGCACTCAAAGAGCCGGTTGTGAGTTTAAGAATATATAAATATATAATATATATATAAAATAATGTATTATAATACATAATTTCCTCTGCATTGGATTATTATCAGATAGGGTAATAACTTAATAATTAACTACGTCTGAAAGCAGAAGTCGAGGGCAAATAATTGCAAGTCTCTTCAGTGCGCATGTCACAAAACAAGATGCATTGTGGGACATGTAGTTTATGGGCAACGTGCCTCTGTAAAGTGGCATGTAACCGTATAATCAGGGGTGCACATAACTTTTTTGCCCTGGTTCTCAAAGGAGCACCTGGAGATGTTGCTTGGTGCTCATCCTTAAAATGAAATAAACCGTAACTTTTGAGGGGCTCTTGACTTTATTTGCCAGACACACGGCACTGAACACACGTGAGGTGAACACTGAACACACGTGAGGTGAACACTGAACACACATGCAGAGGTGAACACAGAACACACATGCAGAGGTGAACACTGAACACACATGCAGAGGTGAACACTGAACACACATGCAGAGGTGAACACAGAACACACATGCAGAGGTGAACACTGAACACACATGCAGAGGTGAACACAGAAGACACATGCAGAGGTGAACACAGAACACACATGCAGAGGTGAACACAAGACAACATTAGCACGAGCAGTAATCCTACAAGCTGTCATCACTACCCTCCTGACTGTTCTCCTCACTGTCTTCCTCTCTGTCAGACATGGTAGCTGATGATGTAGGCCTACTTCTTTCTCTCTGGTTGAGTCTGCGATTAGCTGCTTGCATCCACAAGTCAACAGCTGGTTTTGGGTCGAAAGTCTCTGTTGTCATCTTAGACAAGTGGATGTAATCAAATAAGTATGTGAACATAACCAATAACCTACCATAGCCAATAACAAATGAATGTAACTTGTTTTATTTTTGTTGTTCATTCATATCTTATTTTACCTTAACATTTATTTATGCATTTTTTTTTATCTTTCCAGTTTAAAAGGATATGTTTGGTTACTGTCCTATAGTATATATTGGAATGATTTCAAACCTGTTTATCCCAATAATTATAAAGGAGTGCCTTGAAAATGTGTTTACATAAATTGTGATCAAAACGTTTGAGACCCACTGAGATAACTTAGACTAAGTGAACTATCTAAACACTCAGAGTCCTTTACCTCACTGAGCTGTAGTTATCAGCCTCTCAGTCTGACTGGAGAGGACTCTCCCTCCACATTATTGTAGAAACATCTTCTTCTTATATCCGTTAGAGCAGCTAGCACCAGATTCTAATAACAACAGCGCCGAAACCGGTGCACCCTCCCTCTCTCTCTCGCTCACTCGCATTTTGGCTGTGAGCTGCGGGCGCCAGATAAGCCAACATCCCCCATGTTCATCACTTACAGCGCCCATCGTACAGGGCAAATGAAAGGTGGAACCGGGGTGAAAAGGGTGTTACATTTACTTAATTATGAATATTGTTACATCAAGGCCGAAAATTAGGATGAGCCCCAACGGTCAAAAATGTTTTTTTCCCTCCCGGAGCTGCCAGCGCAGCGCCTCCACAGATCTGGCGCCCTAGGTGAACATCTATTACGCCAGTGCTACGGGCCGGCCCTGAGTTCATATGCAACTCGCAAATATCGTTCTCTCTCTCCTCTCTTCTCTCTTTTCTCTCCTCTTCTCCCTTCTCTCTCTCTCTCAATGTTGGTACGCAAATGCGCCTTTTTTCAAATGACCCGGTGCTCTTTTTTTGACGGAGGTGCGCATGCGCACCTGCGCACCAGTTATGTGCAGCCCTGCGTATAATACAGTGGTTCTCAAATGGGGGTACGCGGACCCCTAGGGGTACGTTGGAGTACTGCAGGGGGTACGTGAGATTTATTTCATGTTAATGAAAAAGAAAAACATGAGTAATGCGTTTAAACAAACTACTAATAGTAGATGAACTACTTTATTCAAAGGTTTACAGTAACTCTGGATAATAACATGGGAAAATAAACGGGGTGCTCTCTTTGACTCTCCCTCTCCTGACAGCCCGTCAGTCTCGTGCAGCTCGCTGAACCTGTAATAAGTGACCCGACAGTAAAGAACACACATATTTCTTATAACTAGTTTAGCTAGTTCCAGAGTAGATAAACTAGCTAAGTGTGTTAGGTCTAACTGTATTTTGCTCCACTCAACGGTCCGTCACAGCGGCGGAGCTGTGATCATGCAGAGCTGCGTGTTCAGCAGCAGCTGATCTGATCTCTCTCTCGCATCCGGTTAGACTTCACTCGCGTTTATGTCCAAATCTATCAGATCTAGATAGTTCTAGCTAATTATATGACTGCCTGCTTATCAAAGGACCTAAACAATAAGCGTTGCTTGGCAACGGCTTGTGGCTGCAAAGTATAGCGCAGCATTATGCATATGTTTAATGAGGGGTCAAAATCCCATGCTCATAAAATGCTCATATCTTTTGTTCTCTTCATTCCCCACGCCCCAAAATAAATAAATATACACATTTTAGGAAAAGTAACGAAGTTTGAGCAGTGTGGGTTTTATATTAACAGAGTTACACATAGTTTCAAAACGCGAAGTGTAGAACTGCAGGTTGCCTCCCTGTCAGAATGACAAAGATCCTCAGTGAAGCTCAAGCCCATGTTTCACTACATTGTAAGTACAACTTATTAAAAAGATCAGTTAAATGCAACTAATGTCGTCTTAGTGTTATTGCATGATGTTTAAAATTGGGTTTGCCATGAATTTAGTGATGGATTCTAAACATTTGAAATGTAGCATTTAAGTGTTTCTCAGTTACAAAGTTGTTGTTTTAATAACTCAGACTCTGATGGTGCAGCAGCACTGTACCTCTTTATATAGGCATCTTTTCCCTAACAAATAGTTTTTGCGCTGATCAGGGGGTACATTATTGAAAAAGGTTTGAGAACCACTGGTATAATACACGTATTATATTCTTTGCATGCTCTTGCGGGGCCACATTAAATGAAGTTGCGGGCCGGATTTGGCCCCCGGGTCTTGAGTTTGACACCCCTGCATTAGATGAATGTCACTAAAGACAGTCTGACAAAAAGATGCTGACATTATTTTCGACTATAGGATAATTCTATCTCCTTAATATACTAGATGGCAGTTTAATCTATAACAAAGTATATTGTATAAAGTTATCACCTGTTTCCACAGGTGGGAAGTAACTAAGTACATTTACTGAAGTACTGTACTTTAGTAAAATGTTGAGATACTTGTACTTTACTTGAGTATTTATATTTCATTATACTTTGTACTTCTACTCCACTACAGTTCAGAGGTAAATGGTGTGCTTCTACTCCACTACATGTATTTAATACCTTTAGTTACTTCACAGATGTGGAAGAATGATGTGAAATATAATCAAGTGTTAAATCAGACTTTAGTTCCACCTGGAGTAAATCCACAAGCTACCCTGCAGTATACAAAGTCATTCAAAGTAGCTGCTCCTTTACCAGCTTTGAGAACACTTTCATGATCAATCATTATAAAACATATATATATATTATTCTGAAATGGACCAATCTGCACAATGAATACTTTTACTGTCGCTACTTTCACTAGATTTTGATGACAATACTTTTCTACTTTTACTTGAGGAACATTTTGAATGCAGGACTTTTACTGTAACAGAGTATTTATACACTCTGGTACTTCTACTTTTACTCAAGTACAAGATCTGAGTACTTCTACTTTTACTCAAGTACAAGATCTGAGTACTTCTACTTTTACTCAAGTACAAGATCTGAGTACTTCTCTTCTCCTATTTTATAACAATCATGAGTGCTGAATTGCTGGATTTTGAATTATTGCACAAAATAAAGAGGGACCTGGAAGTGGTAAAATGCTAACTCATTTCCGGGTTCTAAGACTCATTCCTGGCCCACTCTGTTGTGCATCAGTCTAACAGTAACACATGGACTCACCCGACTGTGGGTGGCAGGAGTTGGTGTGGTTCTGACACTGGCAGGGCCGGCAGCCAGTGCTGCTGAAGTAGAAGAACCCCGGGTGGCATTCGTCACATTTTGGTCCATACACTCCGGTCTTGCACACACATATCCCTGAGCTGAAAGAGGCAGAACATACAACACAATCAATAGAATAGATTAGTCAGTGAGCTGAGTGTGTTTGCTTTTGGAATGCCACCATGGCAGCTGATGTCCAGACTGTCATGGTGATTCCACACTTGACTTCCCACAGGTTCTCCAATCACCCATCTGCTTTCTACAACCTGTTCCAGGTATGAAGCATGTGGGAAGCACACTCATATCGTTCTCCCCCAACATGTTGGGCATGTGAAGCTCGGCCTGCTGCTCGTGTCCAGCAGCACACAATATAAAAACGCTATTCATAGTTTGGGCTTATTGAGAGATATTCATCTCTGAAATTGTTGCTGCTGACACACAAATGTAGTATTTGCTGATCGAAGCAATAATTAAATGATATTACAAAAGTTCTACATCGTTTTGTCTTTTAAAATACATTGTACAGTTCTATATATTAGATAATACAAAAACTACACGGTGCAGTTTTTATTTAAATGACTTTTAGCAGACAACAAATAGAGTCCATTACCAACAGCATGCATCTGAAACAAATCAGAGAGAGCTGCCGAGTGGAAATGCAGACGGGACTGGAGCCAGACTCCAACATTCACACGCCAATACTCCTCACAATTGTAATTATGAAAATAAGCTGTGCAATTTCCCCAACAGCAATAGCAGCTGAGAGACACTGAACATCCTGTGAAATGAACCATCTGTCTCACTGCTACTTTACCCAATCAAAGCCATTCATTAGCAGCTCCAGTGATTTCAGCACAATATCATTCAATCCAGTATCAGGCGATCTATGAATAGAACCAAAACCAAGGAATCAGACTTTTTCTATCGGCTTCATGTGTTTTACATAACAGTATTATTGGTATCAGCTAAGAAAATATCAGTGGATAATGCTCCAGCAGTTACATCCAATTACATTTGAGCTCTTCTGCAATAATACACACATGAATAACTTAGTGTCTTGTCCTGTTTGGATCTGCGCTCTCAGCATCCTTCGTAGCTGTCTGTTACTGCATGCTCATTCATACATGTGGGAATAGGGAGAGGCTTTATTTCTTCCCAGTGAGAAATCATCCATGGCTCTCAGATCCCGCCCACACTCAAGGTCACTTCCTAACGCTAAATAAAGCCTGACCAGCCCTCCAACCCAGACAATGGACTCAGAAACTTCATCTGAGGACAATAACTTCAAAACAATTGAAGTAAATCACAAGTGACTGGGAGCACTTTCCATGAGCGTGTGCGTGGGTCTTCATACAATCCGGGCTTTGTTAAAACAACTGCACTTAATGCAAATGAAGGGGCCTGGGGCCATGCTTAGTGGGGCGTGGGCACTGCTAGGAAGAAGGCTGGGAGATCAACAGTCCTCTTTCTTCCAGCTGAACACACACACACACACAACAATAACAACAAATATGTGCATGCGGCATCATGACCCTAATGCTGTGGAGTCAGAGAGACCATTTCCAACGGTCACACAGAGTGAGAAAAAGTGCTGGATTTCTAAATGTCATCATAATCTAAAAACTGAAAATGATTGCGTCCTCAAAAGTCAATGTTGTTGGCGGTGTAAGTCGTGAGATCACAGTCCGTTAGCAATATTCATCAGCATCAATGACAACAAAAGACATACAATTCTACTAGAGTAAGAAAAAAGGACACATTGGGTTTAAGAAATCCCATTGCAACATTTGTTTGGATATTATACTAAATATATTATATATATGGAATATTTGATAGACTGGCCTTTTGCATTTCCTTCACTCTCACTAAACCAAAGGCTTGCACTATAATACAAATACAATGATATTGCACAACCTGTAGAATACTTTCTTTTTAAACATGTTTAGTTATATATGTACATCTTTTTTTATTGGTATATACAGTATGTTCTATGTGTGTATTGTGTCAAGAGGCTATAACCTACATTGTATTGTGAAAACCTATTTTGTAAAAGAAAAGAAAACACAATTTGACCCAAGTGTTAATGCGTCTTCTGCACATCCATTCAGGATCAGATGAATCTCAAATAAGAACCTGTTGGAGAATTATCTATACAGCAAATTAAATGTGCTACTAATCAAGAACTTCAGTCCAATGTCACCATAACACAGTCCTGCTTAATGTTCTTAATCCACCAATATACTCAAGAGATTCAATATTAGATATGAATAAGATTAGAAAGGATAAAGAGTAATATTAGAGCTTGTATAAGTCATGGGGGGGCTGGGGTGTGGCTGTTATTGTTTTGGTGTGATTTCACTGGCCTGGCGCTGCTCTGTGTCAGATGCTAAGTAGGTCACTGTGACATGAGCGATGAAGCTTAACCCCATTCTGCTGCACCGAGTGGACGAGAGCAGACAGCAGGCAGCATCTGAGCAACAGGAAGTGGTCACCACTTTAATGACCCAGAGGCGAGTGTCTGCTACACTCAGCAGGTTTAGTTGCATTGCTGGGTGTGCACGTCAGCAGAGCATAATCCTGCTCCTCAACACAAGCATGGACACGTCCAGATACTCAGAGACATTCCTACTCATGTAGTCAGGTGAAATCGGAATGCCGTGTAGCTTGTTAACTGTCATGGTATAATCAAATATAGTGCATGTAACAGGGTTAGTGCCACTCAGGTTTGAGTTACTAAAACATTCATTAGAAACTACAAAGAAAATCTAAAAGATTGTGAAAAATGATAGTTTAACATCTCAACCAGAATTGTTTTGGAGGTCGCCGCTTAAAGGAATTTCTTTCTGTGTTGGCAGTGTAACCTGAAATGATTGAAAAATGAAATTATAAATGTGTCGGCCCTATCACAAACTAAGCTTAGCTCAAAGACTGGAGACTGCTAACTCAAACAAAAGTGAAAAAAACACTAGTTCCATCAAGTTGTTTTTTTGTGAGCATAATGCCCACACATCCACCCAAGAGTCAGTGGCTTTGGTTGTAACAAACCAAAGCCACTGACTCTTGGGTGGATGTGTGGGCATTATGCTCACACATCCACCCAAGAGTCAGTGGCTTTGGTTGTAACAAACCAAAGCAAGCCAACGTTGTGATCCAAAGTTAGAGATGCAGATCCATTCACTGACAGAGCAGCTGAGAGCCAACAAATAGATCCAGGGGTCACTGCCTCCACCCGACGCTCCGACCACATCACCCCCATCCTCCACCACCTCCACCCACCGCATTGACTTTAAACTATTACTTTTTGACCTCAACAACCTTGCCCCCCCACCTCAGTGACCTCATCAAACCACACACCCCCACCCGACGCTTACCTACTGCAGCCCGTCAGGACCAAGCTCTGGACCTGGGAGGACAGGGCCTTTGCAGCAGCCCCCCTCCCTCTGGAAGGATCGTTTCAGACTCGTATGGATGTAATCATTTACAAAATTCACAACATCTTTTTATCCAACCAAATATTCTGCCTTAGTCGAAATAAGCTTTTTTTTAGAACAATATTGAGTTGTTAAAAAAGTGTTTTCTCTCCCTCTTGCTGTAGGCACACACCAGCGTTACTTTATGCAAATAGAGGATTTTGTGTATTTGTTTTTATTAGGGTCGTAAATGATGTTGACGTCTTTCCAAAACATGGATGTTAACAAGTGCTGATACTTGATATCTAAACAAGTTTCTGGAAGCTGCTTAGCATGCAATGTGTTTTATCCCCTGTAATTACTTTACAGATATTTCAGCAAAAAATAACAATTCCAGTGAACAAGCAAGTTGATATAAATGCTCCAAACCAGATCTGGAGCATTTCTTCCTTTTTAGAATGATAACAAAAAAAGCAAGGTTAAACGACAGGGTAAGAATTGTGCCCTCATATATCTGTTGAGCAAATCAAATAATAGTATCAGATACTGCGACCAATGCAGAGTAAAAATACACGGATGGCAATAATGCATCCACTGCAGTGGCACATGCAAAATCAATATTTCATTACAGCCATGGAGTAGAGAATAGAGTATTGTAAAAATAAGCCCACAGGAGCTGACCCCCAATTCAGTTCGACTGAAATGTTATGACGGATTAAAGTGGTTTAAACAGCTCTTCTGTCAAATATCGGCATGACCATACACAAACATATTGAACATTGAGTGTCTTTTAAAAAGACAGCGTTTGCACAAAGACTGCAGATAGAACAGCACAGAGCGGACAGGAGGGGGAAAGCAACACGTTGAATAAGGATGACGTTACAGACTTCATTTTCATGCAAAAACAACATATATGTAAATGTGTCATTTTTGGTTTGAAAAACTTGAATGGTAGGCTTCTGGATACCAGGGAGTCTTCTGTCCCCAGCGGATGAACCCTTTTTTGATCAATCGACTTAAAGATCTGCAAAAGAATCCCCATCAGCCTCAGCTGTACTTTTGGTGCTACTTAGCATATGTTAGCATGTTATCACACTAATTAAAGATGAGGAACATGTTTAACATTCTTGAAACCTCCGCATCATAATATCGTCAATGTTAACATGATAACATGCTAGGGTTAGCCTTTAGCTCATAGCATCACTGTGCCTTAAATTCACGCCGTGTCTCCTGGATACTCCAGACAGCACACTCGGCTGCTTCGCCCTCACCGGAAATGTTGATCACCGTACCACATCATTTCAGACTGCTGAATTAACCCAATATCCATTTGTTCAAAAAAATGTATAGTGGCATATTTACAAAAAAGCATGTATAACTTTGTTGCTGCGTTTCATACACTGTCTAAATATTTGAGCCGTTATCCCCATATTTAACCCCATATTTTTACAATACTGTACTTCTGATTTCCAAAGTAGTCAGGCAACATATAATAACTAGTATTAACTAGCACAATCTGGCCAGGCTGTGTTCTGTATTTCTATCATAAACCCATCACACTCAAATCTGTAAATGCTGAGTGCAACAGGATTCCATCCACTCGTATATCATACTTCCATCAGCCGGAATAATGTCAATTAAAGAGTGTCGAGCAGATATAGGCCCAGCTACATTTAGCATCACTTTAACACATTATGGACTGCCAAACTAAATGAATGCCTTTGATGTTTGTCCATAGGGAAGCTGCATATCATGGGCTGTATCCTCTTAAAACACTATACTATATAGTATATATAGTTTGACTCTCATTTTGACTCTTAGTGTTTTAAGAGTCAAAATAATCTTGCACAGGGAATTTCTATTTTGTGCTTAATGACATATGGAAATATTTGGACTAGAGAGAAGGTCTTGCTCTTTGATTCGATGGAACTGACGCAGATTTCTGACGTTTACATTGATGTTTGAACAAGCTGAAAATAAGTATTCTATTACCAGACCTAGCTGCTGGAAATATCTCCCTGTGATGTCATGCTGTCTACATTTGGCCAACACAACAACGGATCAAAAATGCATCGTTTTTATCAGGACAGCAGAGGCGGCGTCACGCCATTTATTTATAAATGTTGACATGGACTGCCTCGACGTAAGAGAGACGTAAGCGACGCCGCCTCTTAGCTCCGAAGCTCTGGTCTCTAGACCGACAATTTTTTGGAGCTGGAAGTGAACCGGATTCCGGAGCTAAGAGGCGGCGCCTCTGCGGTGTGAACAGGAAAAACCGGTACTTTTCAGGCTCCAGTTCCGAGCCGGAGCTGAAAACGCGTTGGTGTGAAAGGGGCATAGGAGCGCTTCATCACAGCAAACACTTCCTCACACTCACACCGAGTGTGATGACATGTGGGATTGTTGGTGCTTCTCCTGAATCCTATTATAGAGTTCACATTGATATTAGTGAGTAAGAGGCTCTGTGCAGTGACGGTCTACTCCCCTGCACAGAGCCACTTCAACCCCACCCGATCCAAACTGTGTCGGACTTCATTCATGCAGCTGAACGGGGGCAAATCCCTGCAGCCAGGTCCAGAAATGTTGCGCATAGCTTTCCCAGATGAGGGGAGGCTGAATGTTTCATCGAGAGTCAGATCAAAAACCACTCATGGCTGTGCGGTATACAAAGGTAGGATAACAAGCAGAAACAGCTAGCTGGCTCTGTCCATAACAAAATGAAGATATATCATTTGCCAACAACAAGTATCAAACAAGGGCAGCAACATGCAGATTTCTATACACCTTGTTCTTGTGCATGCATACCATGTTGGCCAAGTCACTGTTTTTTATGATCATCGTGTTTTTAGCTCTCAGTTAAGCTACAGTATCTTTGCTGGATTTCGGTCCGACCAAGACGAGAAAAGGACCTGAAAATGAACCGTGTTTGATGAGTTGTCATGCATTGACTGTGACATTCTTTTATGAACATCTCCAAGCTTGACTCCCCAGGGTGCATCTCTCTTGCAGAATGAACACCCACTGGGTTACATTTCTCAAGATACCAGGGTTTGTCTCTGCAGCTTGTGGGCTCTAAACAAATCAAAGGACTATCTAATGGGTTCTGTTGTCATTGCCTTGGGTTGTCCCGTAGCAGTGGACACAACAAAAGCCCTGACCCGCTCTTTCTCAGCTAGATTGCTCATTACTTAATGGAAAAGATACCTTAAGCGGCATGCTGGGGGGTAGGAAAGCTGACTTATCAGAGTAAGACCCAGTGATAAGCTCCTGCGGGGGCTAGGCTAGGCTAACAGGGTTAGCAGTGGCCAGGCATGGGCTCAGACTGTCTGAGAAGGACTGTATTAGGTTTGGTACTGTGTGAAAGCTCGAAGTCCTCAAATAAACCTCCTTCCTGCACCTTCACCTACATCCCATTGAACCCACATCAGCTCAGGTCCTCTAACAGGAGAATGACATAGTGTGTTTCCAGTGAAGAACTGGTGGGGTTCATTAGGATTTAGTTTAGTTAAGCTTAAACTGTGACTTCTTCTGGGCATGACAACACCAATCCTCCACACGTTGCACATTGACTCCAGCAGCAGCATTCTTCTCATGGTTAGAGGCAGAAAGTGCAGCCGCTATTTTTACCAGGTCCCCTAACCCATACACCACAGCTTCTTTTCCAAGTCACAGTTTCATGAGTCTCAACTGCATGTCAGGTATGCCATGTGTTTTGGAGAATTGAAGGAGTTAGCAGGGGTCTCAACATTTTGCTGCTTCCAGGCGGCTGTGGGATGATGGTCTCATCCACTCACAACAATGATCCTGCAGGGCTAAGGCGTTATGGTGAACATATGTCTGAGCAAAGCTGAGCCCAGAACATCTTGTCTCAGTCCTTATGAGATAACAAACACTCACTCACACCAGACAGTCTGTTTGGGCAGGCTACGGCCCTTTTGCTTCTAAAGATAGTACTCCTTCATAAAGCTTCAGATGCAGTTCCATGGCATGTCTTACAGAGGCCATGTCTGGCCAGAAGTAATGTCTGTACACTTTTTGTACAATTAAGGTATCTGTCGATTCGTGCACTTGCATTGCAATAAGTCCAATATCGAGACAGGTGGAAGAAACAGCATCCCTGCGTTCTGAAGGGTACAATTACTGGTTACTTTCAATGGAGTCTGGGGTCTTTGGCCAATATCAAAGATACCGGCTGGAAGTTCCCCACGAGAGGGTTGTACTTCTGCCAAAGCGCTGCAATAACGTAGTGTACGCATTAAACTGATATTAATACTGTTTTTGAGTGGGCCATTCTTTTAGGTGGTTTAAAATAGCCCACCACGTCCACAGCAAGTAAATTGATTCAGCTCAAGTAACTCAAGTATATTACTCCAAACTGGGGGCATGCAGACCCCCATCTACACTAGGTAATACAAGGATTAGGAACAAAGTACCTCAAACAAACCAAAAAACATCCAAAACTATTCCTTTGAGTGACTTACTAAAACTACATTATACAAAATACAAATTCAATCCAATAAGTAAATGCTGGGATGACCTGAAACACAGCACAGATGATTACCCATGTCCTTATTTTTCAAATGAAAAGTAAGTATACACATTTCCAGTCATGGCTACCAGAGGTTAAAGGAGGGAGCGTACCTGTCACAGAGGCTGTTCACGGCCCCGGAGGAGTCGCAGGCGCAGGGCATGCAGCCGCTGGTGCCGTTGGTGTAGTGCCCCTCCTCACAGTCCTCACACTGCAGACCAGTGTAGCCCGACAGGCACCAACACTGACCCGTGTTGTGATCACAGTCGTCCGGATCCCGAACCCCCTCAGCACCACTGCTGCAGTTACACACACTCTCTGGGGGCACGAACGGGGGGGGGGGGGGGCCACAGTGAAAGGAAGAGACAAGACATTTGAAAATGTTGCATCAGATGTACCAGCAGTGGTATAACTACAGAATGATGTGCAATATATACTTATTTATATTATACAGAATATTGTTCAAAAGACTCAACATGTATGGCCATATACTGTGGACAGGCAGGGTCAGCTTAGTACTGTTTCCCAGTGACATACCGATGTTTAAACTGTCAGAATATAGTACTGACATTAGAATAATATCTGAAAATAAGTTTACTTTAACTGAAGCCTTTATTTTATTCTGCCTAACAGAATCAAGACAGCATTTACTGTTTCCTGCCTGTTTACATTTGCACGATAGGAACAGTGATGCACTGTGTTTGGAAATGGAGAACTCATTATGCTGTTCTCTTAAGTACGATATTACAGTGCCAGACTAACAGTCCATAGACACAAGAAAACTGCAATCAATCAATGTTCCCAATATCAACTTATTCTACACACTGCGTTTGTGACATCACATGTGTTTTTCAGGGCTGTGTGCAGAGAAGTCACATAGGAGGAGGAGGAGGACATGCAAGTGTGACCAGACCCAGGAACAGTAACACAGGAGCTGATCATGCACCCAGCCGTCCCCTGAGCTACTTAAAGCTGCAGAATGCATTCAAAGAATTCCTGTACCATCGGCCCTTCGGAGCTGCCAGTACAACGCCAGAGTTGCTAATTCCCTTTCCTCGAACATTTCCCTCTCACCCATCAAGGAATTCAAAAATCTTCATTTTCAGCATGAGCCTGATTCTAACGGCTTTGCTGTAGAGATTCCAAAACTGCGGTACACACACCACTGGTGGTACTGGTAGTGGTACTGGTAGTGGTGTGCACCTGAGTGGTAGACAAAAGCTTATTACTGAAAAACCTGGCCTAAGTCTCTAACTTAAAACCAACAAATATTTGATTTATTATAATTGTTTACTGACACGGTTATTTCTTACATACATTACAGTATGTAAGAAATATTGTTATTCATTTAAATATTTAGAAATAGAATTGGGGTGGACATGACAACTTGCTATGACGTTTGAAAAAGCATGAATTAATAGTGCAGTTGGTTTTGGAATTATTGCAGATTGAGTGGAATTTTGAAATGTTACAAGGTCCAGAAAACAGTTGAGGGTAAGTCAAAACGAGAGAGCCGAGTCTGACCATTTCAATGCTAGAGAGTTGCAGAGCAGCGCAACTTCTATCAAGAAATGTGGGACTAACGTCACAGGCCCGGGGAAAGCAAAGGCTGTTTCCAGGCCCTTCCATTGGAACAGTGTTTGTCTGTATCTGCAGTGGGAAGCTTGGCACATCCTTTCACAAGATCTGAGGACTTTGGGAACCTCTGCTATTCAACATAAACAACTTCATGGTCATTTTTTAAATAGACCACAATGCCCTCAAATCCGTTTTATAATACAAGATCATATTTTGTATTAGAGGAATTTGTCTAATTTGGCCAGTTAAAGATGGTCAAGCTGATGAATCAGTCCAGAACGGTGTTGCCAATGATGGATTCTGTACAGTTTGAATGTGACATTGAAGCGGAACACCACTCGTATAGAGCTTTATTGTAGTGTTGTGAATGATCAAATAGAAGCCGTACTGAACATCCACCTCTCAGAGTCATCTATAACATCTGGTACAATTCATTGTTTTTAATATCAGTTTCATAATGTATTCTTCATGCTATAACACATTTTAGTTAAATCATTGGTTTTGAAGATTTGGGCAGAGTTTTTGTTAATGAATGTGTTGAATGTCTTAGACCTTAAGAATGTTTGCATTAGGAAAAAGGCTGTAAGAAACCAGAGATATAATGCCAGACATGTGGATGACCTCGCAGAGTACGGAGTGGCATCTATTATTCATCTGATCTCAGGCTAGGTGTGGTGAGTGACGACTGAATGCCTGAGTATACGTGTCTCCATTCTGGGCTCAGACAGATAAGAGCTTCCAGACCAAAAGAAAAAAAGAAATGATAAATGGTATACACACAGATTTCACACTATACCTCAGCTAGCAGTTAGATGAAGAGGAGCGGACAGCGACAGAGTTATATTCTATTCCTGTCCCGGTCAGATGATGCTTCCCTTAGACTGTTGCTTGGACTTTTACATAACTAAGAAAAGCCTGTGGTTACGCAAGTCTGTGCAGTAAACCGTCAGGCCCTTTGCTACAGTGACGTCCACCAGAGCACTGTCCGCCGATCACGGCCTGAGAATATGTGATATCCAGTGAATCGACTCCCACACTGCATGCAGGCCTCCGGTAGGTGTGGGGTAGGGGCCCTATGTGGCCATCTTTGAAGCCGAACAACAGGTTTGATATATATTGGACTAGACCTGTGTAGTCGAGAGGGAAGGGGGGGGGAACTGAGTTCCAACTCTCTCCTATCTGACTGCTGTGAGGTGGTGTGACAGCATGACTGCTATTGAGGACACAGGCAGCTGCAGGCTTTTTGAAACAGGCTGTGGTCCAAAACTCCTCTCTTGCCTAATTCCCAGCCCCCCTGTCTGTGCTGCTGCAGAGAAAACAACAGCGGTTGAAGCGTTATTCTGCAAAGAAACAATCGCTCTACTTTACATTTTGGTTAGGGAATCAAACCTTGTTTAACCTTTAGAGAGTTCCTCATGGAAAGCATGTGAAAACACACCTTACATCTGTCCTCGCGGCCCCTGCCCTGCCAGTATACGTATAGCAGCGCGCTGGGCGAGGCGTTACCCCAAGTGACGCTTTTGTTGTTCTGATGTTATCATGAGACAGCCTTTAGACTAGAACAATGAAAAGTGATGAGGTTCCTGGTGACACTTTCAATAAGGTATGGGGAAATGTTTCATGTGTCATGGGGCAGGTTGCATTTTGGCCTCAGGGCTTAAATGAAGCCAATACAGACGAGTGATTTAGTAGAGAATGCTAAACCCGCTACCATTTCAAATCAATGACCTGCTGAACGACCTTAAAATACATGAACTGAAATTATTATGCCGATCGATAGTTGGGCTTCAACTGTTTTTTATTCATTATTTATTAATCAGCCGTATAAATAGCGTCATCATTTCCTTAAACCCAACGTCTTCTAATGGCTTGTCAGCCCAAAACCGAAATACATTTAGTTTTATGACATATAAGATCATCAAATATTCACAAAGGAGAGGTTGCAAATAATCGGTGTTCAGCATAATTGCAAAAATCCAAAAGAAGATAACCATTAAACAGAAGTGTTCAGAGGGATATCAGCGCCAGATCAAAACCATCTAAATGTGTTCACACAAATCCCACCTGACTATTAGAATACTCTATTGAACATCTGGATATCATTAACCAGACACTCAATGTGCATTTTGTGTAATATTATGGAGATCAATCAGACCCTTCATCCTCATAAACATTAGAACCCCACTACCAAAAACGAATCCCCCTTCTATCGATGCTGACAGTAAGGTTATACACATTGAGCACAGAGGCTCAATGTAAAACACATGACTGGATGAACCCTTGATGTGAGGGGCCAATATCAGTCAAAATATGAAATGAAACCAATGTGTTGTGTTTTTTTAATTCTGGCTTAGAGGCATTATGAAGTTACAACTAAGTACACAACATTTTGGAAGACATCCATTGATTTTAAACATGTTAATCAATTTACATTGAATTTCTGAAATGGTTTGGGAAATTCCCCTACTATTGTATGTAGTTTAGGAAGAGGAAGCTCCTTCCCCTAATAGCAGGTGGTACTGGGTGGGTTTTTTTGTAAATTGTGTATTTTCTAATGTAGCTTTTGATTTTCATGCATGCTTCTTAATTCATATTAAGCTATAGGCTCGTTACATGCTGTAAGAATGTAAAGTTCCCCTCTGTGGGACGAATCAAGGTATTCTGAATAATGAAATGCTTGCACAGACGTTGCCACCCATTAAAGAAGCTCTGCTGAGGTGGAGGAGAACAACACATCCACATGGAGACTGGGGTGCTGAGGTGGAGGAGAACAACACATCCATCCACATGGAGACTGGGGTGCTGAGGTGTGAGAGGAGGGGCTCCACAGTCATTGCTCATTCATGGCTTGGCCTGCCTGGCCATTTTGGTTTAAAGGGCCTTGTTCTGCGTCTGCCTTGCAACCAACAAAAGAGGGGATGCAGCCGCTATCTGGGCAGCTTCTTTGATTCTCCTTCCATGTGAAACACGTCTAACACAAAGGGATCGCCGGTCTCCGTGGATGCTGTCTGCAGGGACGGATTGGATACATTGACGGAACAACAACAGGATCATCCTTGCGCCCATACAGGCCCCCCTTCCCAGTCCACTGTAATATTTGAAACACTTGTCGTATGATAAAGGCCCTCTGGAATATAAAATATGCTACACAGCAAAGACATTGAAAATATTTGAGAATAAATTGTTTTGTGTATGTGATACGATGGGATTTGGTGATTTCCCGATTTTCAGGGGGTTCACCGTGCAGTCTGAGATGTCTGCCTATTGTTGCAATCTGGTTTATTCGGTCCTTCTCTGCGTCAAAACCCCTGTTAGACCACCCTGCTGCTACTACTACCAGGCTAACATATACATAGCTTTCTCTTCACATACTCGTTTTTCTTAACATGAATGTGCCAACACAAAATACGACAAAAAAGACATGCAATTCATTTTTATATCGCGTCATATCCAAAAGCTTCTTTCTTTTTTCCCCTTAAATCTGAACGATCTAGTTTGAACTGTTTTGGTTGCTTTTTAATTCAAAGGTAACGTTACTCACCTTGACTATTCTCTATTGAGGTAACAGATGTGCCAATATTATCTGCTGCCCAGGCATCGTTGGCTGTGCGCTGGGAAACCATGGACACCATGGTCTGCAGCCTTTTCTCTGCAGAGAAAAGTGAGGCTTGTGCATCGGTGGATCTTTTGCTTGCGCCGTTTAATCTGGAAATCGGCGCAGTTAACTGTTCTTTTGTGGCTATGATTATTCCAGTATCAGGGGCGGGAGTAGAAGGAGTGGTGATGGTCCGGTCCGCTGTTGGAGGCTGAAAGGTGTATGCCGTTTTCGAAATAGAACTGGTTGTGGTGGTCGGGCCGGCAGAAACAATAGCAGGCTGCGGGTTGAGGCCGGCTAGAGGCCCGAGTGCCAGGCTGCTCTCGGGTACAGAATGAGGCATGTCGGTGAAGAAGGTCTCCCAGGTGTCGGAGGCTGAGCCGGGCTTCCTGGAGATAGGCGACGCATCGTAGGGACTGATGCGAGGTGCAGCTTCAGAAAATCCAATATATACATACAAAATAAATAGCAGAGCCGGATATATGTACATAATTAAGGACGTTAGCCTCATATTCACTTTCAGCTCTCCATGTAAGCCCCAGTAGTGGTCTCTCTCAGACCTTTCCCTGAATAGACGCGTACTCCACCATTGATGTCCCCGGCGGCGTACGCTGCTGTTTGTTGCCCTATGAACCACAGTCAACACTTCACCTGCTCTGCAACCTACCATGGGCCGCCCGAAACTGACGTAGTCGTTAGCCAATGGGAGCCCTCCCAACATTGCCCGTGAGGGCCCGCTGGTTGGATAATCTTCCTAACAACTTGTGATAAATCATATAACCTATTGTAAATCATCAAATGTACTCACCCCTCTGAACATTTTCCACACATAAATGGTTCGATTCAGAAACTGTATTACTGTAAGAAATTATATTGTTAAAGATAATGTGCCTTCTAGAAACACTTAGACCTACATACAGTGTTACAGATAAACCCCTCACAGGTATCCTCCCCCTTATGTCATAAATGCGGTGGCAGCTTGTTGCGGGATCAATGTTTATAGTGAAAGGTCTAGAACCTTCCATTGTCTACGCTTTCACACCTCATTCTATGTGAATGTATTCTGAAATCACTCACTAAATATGAAATTCATCTTTAATGACTGCCTCGTAAAATAAAGCAGCATCCTCCTCACTCCCTTCAGGTGACTTTTGGACACAACTTAGGCTAGCCCACAATGTATTTGAATTTTTATTTAATTTAAATTTGATTTCTAGGAATTGATTAAAGGAGGTTTTTACCGTGGCTATGAGGACTTGACTGTTTTTTGCAATTGTTATTTTAACACTTTAAACATTGCTTCAAACTTAGAAACTGCGCTTCTATTTTAAACCTTTGTTTTGAATGTCGTCCTCGGAAGTTATAGCATGCTTATGTATTGACGTGTGCTGTCGTGAGTGTATGATGATGAATGTTTATTCTCCTGCAGTATGATATTCTGTCTGCATTTGTTATGTTTGCATGCATGTATAAAGAGAGAGTGGTTGGCATCTGTTTAACATCAGCCTGCACTGCCCTGCGGTGGTCACAATTTGATCTGCATCTGTAAAATGAACAGTTTTGAATATGTCTGTTTCTTTAATTATTCAACAATAACATGATTGATTATGCTATTTCTTTCCTTTCCCTGTTAATCCTTATATAATTAGAATTCTGCTTTTATTCTGCGTTGCTCGTGAAGTCAAATCTTTATTATTTTAGGTAGGCCTACAGTTCGATTTGTTGTCATACACACAAAAGCCACAATTTTGGCAATGCAAATCTTATGTTTCAGGCTCCTCCAACAATGCAATATACAATATACAAAGGTCCAATCCCAAACCACGCCCTGCACTATACCCCTCCGTTTGTGCGTTCGCACGGAGGGTCCGCCACATTAAGTGGCGTGCTGTTCCAAACCAACGAGTGTGGAGCGGTGTGGAGGGGGAGTGGGCTATCAAGCCATCAAACAGCGAGTCTGCATCGGTGCTGACCATGGGCCTTTCTTATTTCTCTAATTTCCCCTCCTCGACTCCTCGACTCCTCGAGTCCTCGGTCCTCCGGGAGTGACCCGGAAATGGTTTTCGGCAAGCCATGTTGAAGGACATCTAATTTCTCTAGAGGTTTCTCAATACTCAAATTTCCCCTCCTCGACTCCTATCCTCGACTCCCCTCCTCGAGACTTGGTGCCGCCCACAGGAGATGCGAGCGGAGGACTGAGGAGGGGAACCGAGGAGAGAGGAGGGGAAGCAGCAGGCGGTTAGAGAAATGAGAACTCCTCTCCTCTGAGCGGTCATTTTAAAGAGACGTCCATTAATGATGACAGGAGGCACAGCAGCCCTCTGTCTGATGGACAGATGTGTTCATGATGACTTATATATTTACTTTGATTCATTCACAGTGCGGTATAATGCGACAATAACAGGCTACAGATGCGGACATATACACACACATAACCCATTGACCGTGATTTAATTGTAATACACGTTTCAAAATGATGCCGAAGTAACAATACTGATAGCGGTTAGTAAAAACCATGAATTAATGCTTTCACAAGTCTGCAGACAGACGGCAGGGGAAAAACCTTTTAAAATGCGTGTTGTCTAAATGGAGATCGGCTAAGCTAACGCAGTGTATGCTCCGACCGTCCACACTCACAACAACCTACAGACATAAATAAAGCAGCGACTGTATTCGCCATGACACTGGCAATCTGTGGTTTGTACTTATTTAACTTTTGTCTAGTTTTTGAACAGATATGAGGAGCTGTGAGCTTGAGTGCTAACAGCTAATGGCTGATGTTGGTTTTCTATGGTTCTCATTGAAGATGACGTCACGGCTCCGCCTACACTGCGTTACTATAGATACTACCCCAGTTCCTAGCGAGTCCTAACAAGGCCTAACGAGGCCCATACCGAGCGAGGCCGAGCGAGGCCGTGTAGTGGAAATGCGCCATTAGACTTTAGACTAAAGTTAAAGGGATAGTGGAAATCCGCGAATTTTGGGTTTAACTTATGTATTTTTATTAAAAATAAGCATAATAAACAATTTTTTTTAATTTCATGCGCCTAGTTTCATTTTATTTTCAATTTTACTGCGCCCTCTCAATGAAACTAAATACTTCGGGAATCGTCGGGAATCTTCGGGTGATGACGAGAGCATAGGAAGACGGGCACAAACAATGGCGGACATTCAATAGCATTTGCATGTGAATAGCCGACCTTTATTATGGTACCGAGTATATTGCAATAAATATGATGATTGATTATCAGTAAAAAATTCTACTACGTGACACAACGACATTGGATTAACCTTGAGATGCGTTTTTATTCCGTTGAACACAACTTTTGATCACAAATCAAAAAAGGTAAGACGTAATTATTGTAATATTTTTGGAACCGGATGTTGTTTACTTTCTCTTTTCTGGCTGATAGCTCCAGGAATTCGAGGTCTTACAGTGATGATTACATGTGTGGAATCTGTGGAGTCTCAGCTTTAAATCGTATATCTTGTTTGTGTAGTTAAGATAGTAATAAGGGCATTTCTACCGTGTGTTGTGTGTAAAAAAGCGTTAGCATTAGTTAGCATTGTTTCGCTCAATGCTAATTCAAAGGCTTGGTATTACTCGTGTTTTTTCTAGCTAACAATTGTTCTTATTGTCAGTTAGCGGAGTTTCTTACCTTTAAAAGGGTATGAAACATTAATAGTTTCATAAATGTTAAGAAGCCCTGAGACATGTGAGAGAGAAAAAACTGTGGGAGGGGTCCACTGGGGGGACCTTCGGGCTTAACTGGTTAACAATGATTAATATTTGTAAAGGCTACAGGTGATCTTAAGATGCGTGAGCTATGCTTAGGGACCTACCAGTCAAGATTATTTGTGCGTAGGGGTGCATCATCTGGCGCCTGGTCCTGGTCATCCTCGCCATTGCCCATGCCGTGAACCATCACCTCGGGCTCGGGCTCGAACAAATAAGGACGTAATGGTCCATCGTCTGGCTCAATATTGTCACCATCGTCGCTTACTGAACCGGATTCAGATTCAGTTCCTAAAACGACATTTTCGTAGGAAAGCCGAGAGGATGTTTCTGACTCGCTATCATCACTGGATACCTCGTACAATCCTTCTTCTTTGTCTGGTATATTTGCCCTTCCACGTTCATTCTGCATAGACGCCATAGTTTGTTATCGTATCGTCTTCCTGAGTTTTCGTCACTTCCGGTTTGGCTGAGTCGAACATTTCGTTTCTAAAAAACTTCGGGGAAGCTGCAATAAAGTGCTTCTAACATGCGTAAGGCAATTATTATATTTTTTTAATCAGGTGTGATTGTTTTGGTACGTAATTATGCTTGTATATAAGTTAAAACGAAATTATTTGAGGTTCCATTTCCACTATCCCTTTAACTAAACACTCGGAGTCCTTTACCTCACTGAGCCTCTCAGTCTGACTGGAGACCTTTCCCCCACCCTTGTTGTAGAAACATATTCTTCTTATCCGTTAGAGCAGCTAGCACCAGATTCTAATAACAACAGCGCTGGTACCGGTGCGCCCTTCTCTCTCTCTCTCCCTCACTCTCTCTCTCTCTCTCTCTCTCTCGCTCACTCGCTCACTCGCACTTTGGCTGTGAGCCGCGGGCGCCTGATAAGCCAACATCCCCCATTTTCATCACTTACAGCGCCCATCGTACAGGGCAAATTAAACGTGTAACCGGGGGGAAAAGGATGTTACATTGACTTAATTAGGAATATTGTTACATCAAGGGCCGAAAATTAGGATTAGCACCAGCGGTAAAAAAAATGTGTTTCCCTCCCAGAGCTACCAGCGCAGCGCCTCCCCAGATCTGGCGCCCTAGTCGAACATTTATAACGCCATTGCTACGGGCCGGCCCTGGGGAGTGAGCTATCAAGCCATCAAACAGCAAGCTGTTAAAAAGTAGTTCCAGCAAACATCCGCTGATAAATTACGATGTTAAAGGTCCCATGCAGGGGTGGATCTACGGGGGGGGGGGGGGGGGGGGGGAGGGGGACAGCTGCCCCCCACTGTAGAACCTTGCCCCCCAGCTGCCCCCCTAACTTTTGTGTGCCTAAAACTGTACTTGTAGAAACAAACCTACACTATGTCCACAAGCTTCTCAGGCAACAAAACAAGCAGTACATTCATTAAAAGTGAATCATTTAAAATATCATCTTAGGCCCGTTAACAACGCAGCTACGGCCCTGCATTAAACTGCGGAGCAGCGTTCACACAGACTGCGGCTCACGCAGCTGCAGAGAGACCGAGCTGTCCCAGCACCTGAAGGTGGATCAGCTTACCCTTGGAGCATTTCCCCTTCCACTAGTTTTGTTATTACTAAGGACGAGAGCTTGAAACAAGATATTAATAAAGCGCTGCCGTTTGAATCGATAGCGTTTAACAGACGGGCGCTGTTTGGGGCGTTACGTTACAAAATAGCCTACAGACAGCGCTAGCTGGGAGATCGATCACTTTTATTTGCTAAACTATGCCGTACTATTAAATCCACGTAAATTACTCTCAGACATCACAGCAATGAGGCTGATAAATGAAACCAGGATACATCCTTTACCGTCAAACTGGATCTAAACACAGCTGCCTGTGTGCGTTTGATAAATACTTTCTGATTTATATTTATTATATGCTACTTATGGCCCTA